AGTGCTGGTCTTGCTAAACTAAGATACAGAACACTCTAAAAAGGGCCAGATATGTTGAGGGGCCCCACATGGGTCTGTGCTTAGACATATTTGGTTTGGAGTGGAAATGATGTAGGCAGCTGAGGCATTCAGCACTGAGGGGAGGTCTCAATAGAAATTTCTAAAGCTGTGAATTCTGGCCTGGTCTTCTGCACACACAGGTCAGGAAAAGGAAGAGCATGAAGAGTAGGATCCTCTGCTCAGTTCCAGTGAGCATGGAGCTCCCCACACCACCAAGCAGGTCTCAACACCAGCTGGGTGTCTTACAATTGGACTCAGTTCTGACACTGTCTACCTGGAGATAAACTCAGATCCCACAAGTTGAGGCCTCAGTCCCACAAAGCTGCGTCCCCATCCCTTCTGATGCCAATTGCAAGTCAGGATTGTTACCTGTGCTTCTGGCCGACAGACTAAATCAGAGGTTCTCACAATCCCCTCATTGGGTTTGCAAGAGCAACTCAAAGAATTCAGGAAACCGGTTTACTCACTGGTTTACTGGTTTATTACAAAATATATTAAAGGAAACTAATGAACAGCCAGATAAAGAGATACACAAAGCCAGATCTGGAACAAAGGAGCCCTGTTCCTGAGAGCTCAGGGCGGGAACTGTTCTGGTTTACCAACCTGGAAGCTCTCCAAACTCTTGGGTTGTTTTTTGTTTATTTGTTTGTTTGTTTTAAATATATTTTATTGAATTTTTACAGAGAGGAAGAGAGAGGGATAGAGAGTTAGGAAGAGAGAGGGATAGAGTTAGAAACATCAATGAGAGAGAACCATCCATCAGCTGCCTCTTCCACACCCCCTACTGGGGATGTGCCAGCAACCAAGGTACATGCCCTTGACCTGAATTGAACCTGGGACCTTTCAGTCTGCAGGCTGACGCTCTATCCACTGAGCCAAACCGGTTTCAGCCAAACTCTTGGGTTTTTAGGGAGGCTTCATTACATAGGCGTGATTGATTAAGTCACTGGCCATTGGCAATTAAACTCAATCTTCAGCCCCTCTGCTTTCCCCAGAAGTGAGGTGGGTGGAGGGTGGGACTAAAAGTTCCCAGGTGGTCAGCCTCCATCCTCAGGCTACGTTGGGGTTTTTCAAAAGTCTCTCATTGACATAACATAACACACCTTTATCGGTCTCCTCATAAGAAATTCCAAAGGTTTTAGGAACCCTGAGCCAGAAATGGAGATGAAGACCAAATACATATTGCATATTAAAAACCACAATTTCAGCCGAAACCTGTTTGGCTCAATGGATAGAGCGTCTGCTTGGGGACTGAGAGGTCCCGGCTTCGATTCCAGTCAAGGGCATGTACCTTGGTTGCAGGCATATCCCCGGTAGGGGGTGTGCAAGAGGCAGCTGATTGATGACTCTCTCTCATCGATGTTTCTAGCTCTCTATCTCTCTCCCTTCCTCTCTGTACAAAATGAATAAAAATATATATTTTTTTTAAATCACAATTTCAGTCTCATGCAGAAGAAAAAACAGAGACAAAAAACATTGATCATCACCCAACCTCTTCTTGAAGGAGACTGGCTGGCTGTCTCAGGGCAGGGCCACCACAAGAGGATGTGCTTTTTTAGTGGTGGGTGAAGTTAGAAGCAGGATGGCAGAAGATTAGAGCGAGAATTGTACCAGATTTCAAAATGATAACAATGCCAAATTTGGCCTAACCCTTGGCCACTGTATGTTTTCAATTCTTCCTCTCCCCTGCTCTCTTTCATCCATCCACTCATCTATCCATCCACCCATCCACTCACCCACCAATTTATCCATTCATTTTTCTGACTATATTTATATCCACTTATAAGTATAATTCCCTGTTAGGTAGGAATTTGGATTATATAACCTAAACATTTCCTTCCAGCCCTTAGGTTATATGAGGTATCTTTCACCTTAGGTTATATTGTGATTCTTTTTGGCAGGGTGTCGGTCTTTCTAATTAAGTTGTTTGGTTTCCTTGAAACATACATTTTTACTGAAGCTCACCTCGTCCAGAGCTTTGTCAGGATATCTTTTTGACTCAGGTTATTTTGAACTTGAAATATGTGGCACGTGGTGAATAAGAACAACCATTCAGACAGACAATGAGCAAGAGGGAAGGACAGCCTGGAATTAGATCATCATCTGGTTTTATCTCACTTGTATGCTACATCAATGATGACAATGGTGACAATGATGGTGGTGATGGTGATGATGGAAGTGATGGTGGTGATGGCAATGATGATGATAAGTTCAGTAGATCATATGGCCCTTATAACAGAGGGAATTTAGAGAGGTCATCCACTTGACCTTCTTGCCTCCTATTAACTAATGCCTGATGCATTCCTGAAATATGCCTAACCCTATTTTTAGAAATGGCCCCAAGAATCTCGAAATCTTTTCTAGCCCCAACTCTCCCTGACTTTGGCCAGAGTTTTCTCCTGCTATATGTTTATTTTCCCCCTTCATTTAAAAAATGATTGAAACAATAAATAATAAAACATAATTATTGGATAGAATATAGTTCTTTGAGCTACACAGTGAAAGAAAATTAAAGGAAGCAAAAAGAATCTATCTATATGGTCATGGGTCGCAAGAGATCGATGAAAAAGGGGAAGCCAAGTTTGAGGATAGAGAAGCTGGAACTAAATGGTTCAGCCTTCGTGGAAACACAAACACCATACTGATGCTGATCTCTTTCTTTTCAAATTCCAGGAATTGTGGTGTGATTGAGACTGAGTCACCTAGAAGGTGTGCCAAAGCCTGGTTGTTACTTTGGACTTCCATTTGCAGAAAGATCGTTCCCATTTCCTCAGAACTGGATCAAGTGTGCTCTTGGTGTCCTACCCCTCCTACATTTGCTCCCTGTGAGGAGGAAGGAATAAGATCCAGAAGACAATGGAGTATCTACACAGTGTCAGGCACTGAACTTTACACAGTTTATAGCACTTTATTCATCCCCACTATCTTAAAAAGGATGACATTATCCCCATGTTTCAGACTGAGAACTTTAAGGTCCAGAAAGTCCCAGGGTTCCCTGATTGGTAAGGGATGGAGGTTGAACTGAGCCCAGATCTATATACTTCATAGTCACTCACATGAGGAAAAGGGCAGGGGAGCATTTTACCTGAATTCCTTCTTGGATTCTGATTGAGATGAACACAAATTCTCTTGTCCATGCCCTAGATCTCTACCTCCTCTTGTCTATGAGCCTACAGATTCATATTATGATAATATGATTCTTTCCTTCCTACATGTATGAGCATGGATCAAAGGATGGAGTGGTCATCTCACATACACATATTATAGACTCTGAAATCACTACCTCCAGCTCTAACTCATATCAAATAGAGCCTGTTCTCCAGTCCCTGACCCGTCCTTCCTTCCATGGAATAAACACTAACTTTTGCATGCCTGCCTACCCCCGGGTTACAGGGAGGCCTCTGCCAGGCCATACTTCACACTGTGAAGAAAGGCATCTAAGGCATGCTTGGGCCCATCCCCTGACCTCTGTGCAGGACTGCACGTAGGCCTGCCCCACCGAGTCACAGGGCAGGACTTCCAGAGTAGCACCTGAGTGGTGATTCAGAGGAGCAGCTGCCAGTATGTCTGAGGGCACAGACCCCACGTGCCAGGCTGAGAGGCCTGTATTTGGCAGGTGGTTTGTTCCCAGCAGTAGCAAGACTGCAGCAAGGTATTACAGAGATACAAGGTCAAGTGGAAGTAGAGTTGTCACTTGGGTTTTTTAAATCAAATGACTTTTATACACTTTGATCCAAAATCCTTCAAAAAGGGATAAACCCCGAAGACACTTACCCCCCACCCAATCAGTGCAAGCTGAATGAAGAGCAATCCTATATGGATATAAAAGGGAGAGAAATTCCACAGGTGGCTCTGACATCACCTACAGGATGGCAGATGTCCGTATTGGTATCCCATTGCCCATCTTCAAAGTGAGGACAGCTAGTTTATTTTTGAATTTCAAAGACCATCTGTAGAGAGAAACATGCTCGTTGAAGGATAAGGACATGGGACACATGGCATCTTTCAATAACAAGGGAAGGAAGGCGCTCAAATGAAGGGAATTGGGGAAGTGGGCATGCCACTAGGGTGAGGCTGCAGGGATGGAAGGCAAGCTGTACGTAACTCTGCTTGGTCTGGAGAGTGGGGATTTAGTAGGAGATAGTCCTGACCAACTTGTGTCAGTCAGCCTTGAGTTGGTGTCAGGGCCTCAGATTCTTACCAAGGCTTACTTTACAGTTAACCCCAAGTTTCCCTATTTATCAGGGCAATTAACAAAAAATAAAGTGATTGTTCTTCAGGTTGTGTCTTGAAATATACACATGAAGCAGATCCACCAAATACATCGTGTCCACTCAGCCCCTCCGGGAAGGGGACTTCTCTCTTTTGGGGAGTCTGTCATAAGACTTGGCTTGACCAACTGTGGGAGTTCCTATGGGTTGTGACAGACCAAGTCCTCAGCCAGGGCCAGGAGTAAGGCACCAGACTTTTGGGTGTGTGTGAGAGAGTACACAGAAACCATCACACCCACACCCCACATACCACAACAGGGTGGAGCGAGCCACTAGTCCTTACCTTAATCTTCTCATCATGTTCAGAAATGCTGAGCTTTGACAGTGCTGGGTTGGCTCCTAAGGATGCAGCCCCAAAATGCTCAGCCAACCTAAAGGACACCTTTCCAATAAGAGCTTCCTTCCTTTATCTGCCCCTCACATCCGGGGATCCTAGATTCCAACCAGGTCACAGCCACGAGTCCCATTTATTTCCTAAGGGGAAGTAGGAGTCATGTCTCGCCACGTCTGATCTGCAAGCTTGTACTCACAAGCTCACACCACCCACCCAGATTACCGTCTTTTGGCATTTTCTCAAGTTGCATAACTTGGTCAGGAAGTTTGGGGTTAATAATGACTTACTCTACTATTGTTTTTATTTTTATAAAATAAAAAGCCACACATTAAATATGACACAACAGCATTTAATCTCTGATATTTCAGAAGACGCTTTAGGAGTGAAAGTCCCGTGGGGTGCTGTGTGGATGCATACAAGTACATGCAGCCTGGATTGGGATCAGGAGCCCAGCTCTGGCCCCAGCTCTCGGCTACTAAGTGGCATTAACTGTGGATGGGTCACTTCCCTTCTCCAACAGGGTTGGGTTTGAGCATCTGTAAGGCCCCTCCCAGCTCTGATATTCTATGCCTAACTAGCAGAGAATGTACTGTGTTGATTTTCCATAGGCGCTGAGGAAGATAAAAACTACTTGCAATAGCGTGGCAAGACCTGAAACAGTTCTACTGTAAGTACCGAAGCCTCTGGGCTCGGGCTCCCAACTCATTGTTAGCCCAGCCTGGGTCAGTCATGAGCAGACTGAGACAGGAGCAGAAATCACAGAACCAGGGACCACGGCACAGTTTATGAGGGCATTTACCAAGTCCGTGGACAAGGACCCTCCCCAGCAGAGGAGTGCACTTTGGCCACTGATCCTGCCTTCTCAGACCAACAAGAGCTCTGCTGCTCTCAATCCACCAAGAGTTTTTAGTTGCAGGAACATGTCCTATCCCTGGGACGGGGAGACAGTGAGAAGGTAGCAGGTGAAGAGATAACCAACTCCTCTTGGCTCCTGTCCAGAAGGCCAGCACAGAGAGAAGGATCGAGTGAAGTATGAGCCAGTCTCCATCTATCACAGGAATTCTGGAAGACCCGCATTCCAGGTGATGCTGCATCTGTGGCACCAGCACATCCATGAGCTCCTTTGACTTTTTTTTTTTTTAATCAGGCTTGGCCACCCCTCTCGATTCCGTTCTGATTAGGCCGATTGCTACCCAATGTACAAAAATCTCCAACATGAGCAGGATTCTCAACGATTCCTTGTCTTATAAATAATTTCAGTGATATATACAGCCTAACACACACACACACACACACACACTTGTGAAAATCATCTTCAGGATGATTCACCAGGTACTCATTGGCACAACCACCCTAAATCTGAGCATAGGCTTGGACTCCAATCTCTCCCTCCTCTTCCCTTCAGAGAGCAGAGCGTCGTCGGAAGAAGCCTCCCCCAGCCCAGCCCCTGAGCAGCGAGGTGGACAAGGCTCCTGGGTGGAGCCCTGAGTGCTGTCTTGTAGGACAGGAGGCAGGGACGAGGTTGTGCGGGCAGTGCTGGTGGGCAGGGCCTAACTTTACTCCTTCCACAGCCCCAGCTTCTTCAGAGCCTCCCTTCTGTGCTCATCAGGGACGCCTTTGGGGGAAATCTTGACACTGACACAAGAGGGGCGAGGTAGTTTGTCGCGGCTCTGTCCTTGGTAAGACAGGCGCTTGGCGCTCTGCTCGTGGTCAGCCAGCCTGCTCACCTGAAACCCTGCAAAGTCCCTCCCGGTGCCCAAGGAGGCAGGGCGGGGTCGGGAATTACGTAAGTCACTGGGTGAGATTTTGTTCAAGAAGGGGTCTTTTCCCAGGGAGGTGCTGGTCTTGGAGCTGGGGTCTTTCTCAGTCGAGAGGTAGCTGCTCAGCCCCACCCCTGACCGCTCCAGAGTGTTGGACTTGAAGTTCATCTGTCTCAGCCCAGGGATGCTGCTCTCCTGCAGAGTCAAGGGGCTACCAACCCCGGGGGCCCTAGAGATGGGAATTGGCATGGACTTGGCAGCTGGAACCTTCCCTGGATTGGGTTCCTGGGCAGGAAGGAAAACCTTGCCTGGAATAGACCCCTGAGCTGCAGCGGGAGCCAGGGCTTTCATTGGAGAAAGTCCCCGGGTTGGAGCAGGAGCAAACGCCTTCCCTGCAGCAGGCACAGCTGCTGAGACCTGAGGTGCAGGCTGAGCCTGGGCAGGAGCTGGAGCTGGGGCGGGAGAAGGAGCCTGAGCACCAATCCCCTTGTGCCTGATGGAGCTGGTGGGCTTACTTAACTGGGGGCTGGGCTTCTCTTGGTCCTGGGGCAGCCCCAGCTTTGCTAGAGCTTCCTTGCGTGCTTGTGCTTTCCTCTGCTCCTGCAGTGAAGAGGAGACCAGGCCGGAATCGCCTGGGGCGGCCTCGGAGTGGCGGGACAGCCAGTGCTGGGGTTCACTGTGGAAACTGCTTCGGCTGCTCTTGAGAACAATGTTAGGGGGCAGCTTCCGGGGCTTAGGCCCTGTGAGGGGAGCCACTTGGGCATTTGGATCCCGCCCTGGTGGGACGGAAGCATCTGTAGCTCTGGTGTTCTGAGACGACATAGCAGGAAGAGGCCGAGGTTGTCCCGGTGATCCTGTGGAGCCTTTCTCGTTGGCGTTTTGGGACATGGCCTCTAAAGAAGTCTCCTTTCTCTTCGGGGGGCTGAGTGACGTGAGGAGCTGGGGCGCGGGGGTCTTCTCCCCTGGCCCCGTGGGCAGGCTGTCTTCCCCACGCTGCTCGGGCTGGGAGTCCCGGAAAGCCTCCGGTGGGGGGATGAGAGTTGTGTCTAAATCAAGGGCGGCCTCCTGGAGCCCCACGGGAGTCTGGCTGGGCTCCCTGTTCTGGCTGAGCTGCTCTTCCTTCGGGTCTGGGATGACCCTCTGGACTGGAACCTGGCTGGGCTTCCTGCTCTGGCTGAGCTGCTCTTCTGTGGGGTCTGGGGTGACCCTCGTGGGTTCCCCCGGCAGCTGGCTATTCGTCTGGGCGGTGCTTTTCCTGAGGTGCTGGTTCCTGGCGATGTGGATATTGCGGGGGAGGCTGTAGGAGCCGGATCTGAAGCCCAGGTCTTGGGGTTCAGGCAGAGGGGGAAAGCTAGACTGGGTTGCTCTCCTTGGCTCTAGTCTTTGCTGAGCAGCGGTCTCCTCCGGATGTCCTGTGAGGGGCCGGGAGAGCAGGCAAAGAGAGGACAGAGGTGAGAGCCCTGCTGCTAAGGGAAAAGCAAATATTCCTTGAACTCTGATCTCTAATTTGCATGGATGGGTTTTGTTTTTTGTTGTTTCTTTGCTCTAAAAGGGGAAGCACTCTTGTCTGGATATCATCTAGATGAGCAGATCGATACTAATAGATTCCTTTCCACCAGGGATTAATTTTTCACAACAACTGGGGAAAGGGCAGCCCCAGATGGCTCCCTGTCCTGAACGCAGGTTCTTTCTAGCCCTCTACAGAAGCACCGGGGGTGGGAGAGACCCAGGGCAGTCCCCTAGGTATCTTGGGGCTCCTCAGTAACTGAGTCCAATGGAAGCATTGAACTCGAACAGCATGAACAGGTGATTGGCTCTTGGGCTCCACCTTCTTCCTTCACATCCCTTACTGGTAAGTACCCAGATGATTCTGGGTAATGGCCAAAGCTGTCCCCACACCAGAGAGTGACATGGGCTCTTTCCTTCCAGTGAGCTAGTCAGGTGCACCGGGCCCACTGGGCCAGGGAGTGAGTCCGAGGTGGCAGTGAAGCCCCGTGTTCCCATTGACTGTCTAGCTTCAGGACATTCTAACACATTATCAATAAATATTTGCTAAACGAATGAGTGAATGATTGCAGCCTTGGTTCCAGTGGGTCTCTTCTTAAGCGGAAAATGCCCACCCCACCCTGGGACATATGGCCCCACACTCACGGCCACATCATATGCCACCCTGTCTCTCTTCTAATGAGCCTCAACACCACTGGCTCTCCACACACTCTCCCCAGGGCCTTAACATGCCACCCACTCAAGCTAAAGGGGCCCCTCCCTCTTCTTATCTCCTGCAGCCTCCACCTCTGGGTCATCCAGATTAGCTCCCCAGCCTGACTCAGACTCTACAGAGCCAACCACCCACTCCTCCCTCACCTCTGGGGTTCTATCTATTTAGAATTCCTCCATGAGTGGGTGGCAGCTGGTCAAACCCTCTCTCCCAGGCCTCTGACACATATAGACAGGCACAGGAAGCTGGCTGGTCAGCACACCCTCCTTCCCTCCAGGGACAAAGCTTTCGTCTGGTCAGGAGAGTGGAGGGGAGTGTGGAGCCAAGAGCAAACAAAGTAGAAAGTGGCCAGAAGGACGTTCCAATTTTCTGCGTTTCGCTAGAGGTGCTACCCCAGACAAGTCCCTCTTACCCTGGGGAGCGGGCTGGAGCAGGGGCAGTGCTCGGGGACTTTGGGGAGTTGTGGCTTGCTCAGACTCCTCCGTGGACAGTCCGCTGTCAGCCTCAGTGTCCAATGAACCAATGGTCTCCTCCAGGAAGAGCAAACACTCCTTCTCTTCAGCGGACAGGAAGTCGTAGCTGTCAGTCTGGAGTGAGGACAGGAAGAAGGAGAGGAGGGAGCTATGAGAGAAAGCTCAGCAGAAACTGGCGGGGCCTGAGAACCACCCTGCGTTGGGGAAGGAATGCTGAAGAGCTGGAAACCTTTCCACGGAGCTACTCTGCAAACCTGCTGGAGTTGCTTCCTGAAACTGTAGGCACCAGGGAGGGCAGAGACTGGTGGGCTGCTGTCCCACCAGCACCCGGCTCAGGTGGCTGGGAAGGCAAATGGCAAGAAGCCTTGCTTTTGCTCAGTCCTGGGGGAAATGCTTGGGAGCACAGATCAGAAGCAGCCCCAGGTTTCTCTGGAATTATTTGTTGCTTCTTTGCTCAAACATGTCACTTTGGGTGTCTCCGATTTAGCTCTAAATTATACAAGCAACATAAACATTTGACCTTCAACTTGAAAGGTATTGCTTTCAATTTTTCTAAGTACTGCTGCATACTTGACCTGGCATGTCAAGGACAGAATGAAGACAAACGGGAAACGCAGCCAACTGCTGGCTGCCAGGCCAGTGGGAACAGTGGTATGACTAGCCACAGATACATCTACCAAATAATTTATACTTGACTCTGAAATGCATTCCACACAGGATTTCCCTCCCCCCGTGTGTATTTACCTTCTTGATAGTATTTGGCTTTGTTAACATTCAAACGAGTGTGTGTTTCTTAAGCAAATAGTAACTTAAGGAGGGAGGGTGAAGAAATTGGATGAGTACAGAGGAATGGGGGAGAAAGCTTTTTAGTATTAAATATTAGGTAGATCATAAGTAACTGATTTGAATTATGGGAAAGCCCATAGGAATATCTAGGGAAAAAAAATGGTATGATCATTTCCGATGGTTACTGACCATGTTCTACAGGCCAGGAAAACCCATGCAATAGTCACTCTCCAAACAAGAGGTTGAAGGGAAAGCTAAAAGGGCAAATAGGAACATATGAAATTTGGCCCAAGTCCGTTCCTGGCATCTTTGTCCCTCTTTCTAATATTTGAGATGCTTCAGAGTTATATATTCTCCAGACCCACTCAGATGGCCAGGAGGGATTTTGGGATAGCCCTAAAAATATCCTGGGAGGAGGGAAGAGAGCTGCTGGAATAACCCTTCCAGTCCCAGACTCCTTAAAGTGCCATCTGTCAGCTGACTGAGTGGCAACTGACAGATGGCACTTACATTTCAAGGGGAGCCCTAAACATAACCCTTGGAAGCCCTGGAGCCAACTCCAGAGGTTCTCTGAACAAAGATCTTCTTTACCGCCTTGACAAAGATAAGCCAGCTCTGGGGTTTAACCTTTGTGGATGTTTCTTTTTGAATATCTTTAATCCCAGTCATACTCTGAGTCCAGTGGTATGTAACTATGCATCTTGACCTCAGCCTAACAGAAACAGAAAGATGTCTCTGTGGCCCCACTATGGAAAGTCAAAAAGAAATTATATACAGATTGCCTGCACTTTGGATTTTGTGTTTGTGCTGCCTTTTCTAATCCATTTTTACATATCAAAACTCATTGACAATATATATATATATATATATATATATATATATATATATATATATCCTCCTAATCATCGCCTGAGGATATGTTTTCAGCAATTTAAGAGAGAAGGAGAGAGAGAAATATTGCCATGTTGCCTCCCATACGTGCCCTGACCAGGAATTGAACCACAACCTAAGTATGTGCCCTGACCAGGAATTGAACCTGCCACCTTCTGTTGTACAGGATGAAGCCCCAACCAAATGAGCCACACCGACCAGGGCTCACTGACTATATGAAACATCCTTGACGTACAGTAGACACACTTATAATCCTTAAATTTTCAAATACCTCTAAAGCCACAGACTACAAATTCTCAGGTATTATTATGTATGTGAGGAATTTTCACAAGAAAGGAAAGCTTACATTTGGGTATAGGGCAGATTTGCTCTTTCACACTAGCCATGCAACAATTAAGATTTAAATTCATGCCCAGAAAAATTACAATTCCTTATGTGCCATTCACAAATAATTAAACATAGTGACTTTGGAAGAGTCTCAATCTCTGCTCATACATAGATGAATTCTTTTCTATAGGGAGAGAATGTGCTAAGTGCTATGTATACATTTCATTTACCTCCCCGCAAGAACGCTAGGAATTCAGTTTTAATATTACCCCCATTTTAAAACTAAGGAGGCGGAAGCTTAGAGAAATGAAGTAATTTGCCCAAGGTCATACAGCTCATACTAAGGAACCCAGATCTGTTTGGCTCCAGAACCCAGGCTCTTAATTGCTCTGGTCTCTTTGATCTTTTTAAAGACTGAAACAATGCTGCTAATTGCAGAGAACCTCAGGAACACATGTGCTATAAGGATCTGCATTCTAGTTTCCACCACAACCTCAGATCACTGGCCTGTTCTCTCATCTCCACTCAGACCCCCAACTCTAATGAAAACTAGGAAAACGTCTCACTTGTCCAACAGTGCTCTGGGGTGGTCCCACCCTACAGAACCAAGGGTGACTCAGAGACAGAAAGCATCAACTGGTGTGATTCACTCCCTGACAAGGAAGATGAAAGAGAAGGAGCAGTGAGCCAGGTCGTGGTGGGCAGGGTGGGGCGGGGCAGGGCAGGTGTGCAGAGAGCGGGCCAGGGTGCAGGACAGAGAGTACGTACAGATCCAGAGCGGGTGGAGGTGGCGCTCGTCATGCTGTCCCAGCTGCCGGTGCGGGTCACGGGTTCTGAGCCAGGCCCCTCTGGCCACAGCTCCCTCTCGGGCATTGCCAGAAGCAAGGTGCAGGGACGGCGAAAGGGGCTCCCAGAGGGGAAGCGAAGAGAAGCGAAGAATGTCCCAAGCTGGGCCTGAAAAGAAAAGAATCAAAGCCACGTGTGAGCCACGCCTGGGCTCCGGCAAGGCTCTGCCCAGGCCCTGGATAAGCGTGGCAGCAGGGACATCATGCAAGCAAAGTGTTGGAAGGGGCCGTGGACAGCCATTACCCAAACCCATCCTCCTCGCTCCCCCCAGCCTGCAGGGAAGGACACACAAGAGTCGGCTCACATACATGCAGCAGGACGGACTTAGGTGGTGTAGAAGCATGTAGTCAGAAAGGAAATTCTATCACTTCCCTTAGTCACCTTTTTCTGTGAATTAGGGAGCTTACCCTACATCCTCATTACTATAAACAATAAATATTATAGGGGTTAAGAGCTTGGATTCTGGAGGTCGTTGGATCTGGGTTTAAATCACAGGTAAGCCATTTACAGTTATGTGACTTGAGGCAAATGACTCTTTCAGTTTGTTTTTCCTCCACTAAAGCCAGCCAAGCCTTGGAGGAGAGTAAACAGCAAATGAGAACAGTGAGCATCATTTAGCTCAGTGGTCGGCAGACTCATTAGTCAACAGAGCCAAATATCAATGGTACAACGATTGAAATTTCTTTTGAGAGCTGAAAACTGACTTCTGCGCAAGGTATTTTGTGGAAGAGCCACACTCAAGAGGCCAAAGAGCTGTGTGTGGCTTGCAAGCCGCAGTTTGCTGACCACTGATTTAGCTGGTAGTAAATATTAAACAATGAATAACTAACTACTACTGTTCTTATAACAAGAAAAGGACAAACTCCATCTGGGATCAAAGTAAATTGAAGGAAGGGAAATAAGAGTTTAGAACATAAGGATTCAGGTTTAAATGGGAGACTATATAGGCTTGAAAGAAGGAGCAGGGCCCTTGATAGTACCTACGTCATAGGGTTGTCTTAAAGATACAACAATATAGTCCATGTAAAACCCTTGCACAGTGTATGGCCTGATGGTTAGCTAATGTTACAGTCAACAGCACCATCATCACAGCAGCCATTATCTCCCTATCCTTGGACACACATGCATAGCACTACAGTGGTTGGCACAAACCCAGTTTTCCTCTTGTGCATCACCCCCTCCATGGTTGAACGAATCCCAAGGAGGCTTCCTAACTTGTGTCAAATAAACAAGAAAAGTGTCCTAGATAGCGTCCTCCCAACTCCAACTCCCAGGGAACAACGTTTCAAGTTCATTGTGCTAATAGTAATAGCAAAGGAAGGCCGTCTTCCCTCTGAAAAGGAAAAGGATTTCCACATGCCTATTCCAGCACAGTTGGGAAGGCCAGAGTGACTCTCCTTTGTGAAAATGAAATTCTGAACAAAATAAAGATTAATAGACGAAACAGAAAGTTGAGGGAGAGGTAGAATACAAAATACAGAGTACAGTCTGTTTCTGAGTCCATATTCTCCCCATGACACATACTTTGTTTTCTACCATTTTTCCTACCTTCCAATTCTAGGTAAAATGTCCTAGGGGAAGAAAAAAAAAAGTGTCTTATTGAGATCTTGGGACTTGTCAGGTTCGGGCTGTGCTGGGTGTGTCAGTCTGCCAGCTCCCTAGAGCTGACAAGCCCAAGGCCTCACAGAGCTCCCCTCCTGCTCGGGAGAAAGTCCTCAGGGGGAGCAGGTGGGGAGGAGCAGGACAAAGGGAAATGAAGAGGGAAGATCCCTGATGACACATGTAGTTTATGATGGTCCAGCGCCTCTCAGGAGATAGAGAGGGAACAAGAAGGGACAGAAATGCCAAAGATGCCCAATGGTAAGTCATCACTAGGTAAGACAGTTCTTAGAGTTCCTTCAGGAGGTGAGCTGCCCAATATCTAGAACCCCAAAGAAACAAAAACATGAGAATCCATGTGAATGAAGTTCAGTCACCTCATATATCCACTCCATTGATGACTGTCTAGGTTCAGATAGTACTAACTCATTCTTGACATTCTGTGAGATTGACGCCATTGCAGAAAAGGGGAGCCATCTCTCATAAGATGAAGCACACAGAAGGCGCTCAAGAAATGCTAGATGAATACCTTGGACATCCATTTTAGTGACTGTTGAGTTGAACTATGGAAAGACTTCCTTTTTTGGCTTTTACCCTATTACTATAAGCGCAATGGAATCTGGCCAATGCTTTCAGTTAAACTATCAGGCACAGAGCATGCACTGTTTCTGAGAAGTGAGTATAGAACCATGTGGGATGATAGTGTTGCCGTAACACATGCAGAAACATAGTTTTTGCCTCCATTTTTTTTCTCTCTGGAAAATTGGGGCAGTACATATTGGAAGTGGCTCACTGGAATTAATATAATATTCTCTGTGAATGGGTGAGAGGATGCTCCCTCTTCCTTTCAGAGAAAATTACTACCCGGCTTCTTCCAAGCACACTTCAGTGTTTATAGTGTTTTCCTAGCCTTTGCTTCCTTCTAGGGTGCCTGTCCCACTCTCACTTCCCAACCAGGATGGCCTGAAGCGGCTGGAAGAGATGGAAACAATCTGAATAGCACTGCTTAAAAAAAAAAAAAAAAAAAAAAAAAACTTTAAATATGCTAATGAGATCTTCAAAATAGCCTGATAACAGGCAGGATGTGACCTACTTCTCCTTTCCAAGGAAAGCAAGGAATGACCTCTAAGTGTACATCCGGGACAGCTGGTGGCCCCTGCCCTTCCAAAGGGCATCTCAGACCGTCCAGATGCGAGAGGGCCATGTACCTAAAGAAGGTCATAGGCCGCCCCCGACAGCACAGAAGCCCTCCAGTCCCCCTTCCTTCTAACTCACACCTTGAACCCTGTACATTCCCTACTCCAGCTTCATGCTCCAAGGCCAGGTTTGGCCCCCACAACAGCTGTCTCCAAACTAAAGACGTTACACCAAGTGCCACTGAAGATGGTATCATCAGATGCTACCTAGCCATTGCAGAGGCAAATCCCAACCTGAAACCAAAGTTCAATGAGTCCTGAAATGCTCCAACCCCGTCTCCACACCTTTCTTTCTGACGCAGCCTCTGACCGGTGAACAGGTCTTCTCTCCCCACTCCCACCTCCCCTCCCTCCCTCCCTCACCAGTTTGGCCTGATCTGGATGCTGCTGCATTTCCTTCCACCCAACTTTACAACATTGAAACTTGGGGGCTATTTCCGGGCAACCATTGAAACCTGAGAGATTTCAACCTGATAAAAAGCCCCAGTGCAAGCACTCAGGTGAGAGGTTGGTATCTTTTAACCCTTGACCTCTGGAGGGCCGGACGGGAGGAGGGAATGGGTTAAGAAATGTGTATAGTTAGGGCTGGCCATGCAAAGGCACATTAAACATTAACCACGCCACTCAAGCCCAGCCAGGCCTCAGAGGAGGGTAAATAAATAGCATGTGGAATTCTGGCATCTGGAGAGGGTAGGTGGGGAGAAGGCTTTAGTCGGCCCCATTTCAGTTTTCTCTGTGCCTTCTGAATAGACTCCTCCCGCGAGCCACCCCACACCCTCCCAGGGCTTGGTCTTCCTCCCCAGAAGTCAGGGAGGTTACCTGTGTCCTTTAGACCAGGGGGTCTCTGCCATTCTACCCAGAAATGCACCCCAGGTGGGGGAAGATCCCAAGGAAACCCCCAGCATGTCTTGCATTGCCCTGCGTGTGCAGAACTTTCCGGGAGCACGCGGGCAAGTTCCTGCGTGTGTCACGGCCTCGCTCTAATCCCCCCTTTCACCACTGGGTTTGAGGGAAGGGGCTGGTATGCATATTCTCTGCACAAAAAGAGCTTTGTTGGAGACTGCGGGTTGTCTTTATTACTGACAAGTTCACCCTCCGTGGCAGTCCTCAGTCAGTGAGTTTGGGGGGCTGGTCCTGGGGTGTGGCGAAAGCGCCAGTTGCCAGGACTGCAGATCTAATCCAAGGGTGGGCAAAAGTAGGTTTACAGTTGTTCTTTTAAAAAAACAAAACACACAAAAAAACAAACCAAGAATAAATTCTGTTTCACATGTTCACAACTGTTAACCTACTTTTGCCCACCCTTGTATATTCACTCAGTTTGCGTCTCAGACACCGGGTCTTCCCGCTTTCCTCTTCCCTGCAGCAGGAGAAAGGAGGCAAAGGGCAAAGTTATAGGCCAGAGTGTACCTCCCCCCCCCTCCACCACCACTCCCCAGAGGTGGATAATGGAGAGCTGACTTACTACTCTGACTCTGATTTCTGGATTCAACTTCCTTGTGCAGGTAAACCTGTCAAACAAGCTGCTGACTGGGGGCCCTGCAGGAAAGCACACCGCACTGCCTGCTGTGGCCTGATCCCCTCTCGGAACCCCCACCAGAGTAGGCATAATACCGTGAGAGTCATAAGAATGTGGACGAGGCCCCTGCGCAGCCGCCTAGCTTTCTGCTTGCTGGTCTCTAGGTCTGTTAACAGGTAAAGTCAGGAAATTAATTGAGTTGGACCCAAATAAAGGGGATTCTGCAACCAGATTATCCGAGAGGTTTCCAGAATAGAGCTGGTAGCCTGAGCTGGAGTTTTTCCAAAGTAACCAAACCTCGCATCCCCTCACAAACAGCCCAGCAGAACTCATTCCTTACACACCTGCCCACAGAAAGCTCCATTATCACATTGCCATTATTAAACACACACCCACCCACCCACACACACACACACACACACACACTGCACCCTTTACTTAAACAAAGATAGTCGGTGGGTTGATAAAGCCACGGGAGGGTTTCCAGTAGAAATGCAATGGAAAAGCACTCTCATTCCCTGGGCCTCCCTGCATGTTGACTTCTCTACTCCCACTATTCTCTTCCAAAGTCACAGCTCATTCGGGATTGCTCAGAGATGGAAATTTCCAAAACAAACCTATCCAAACCCCCCCCCCCCCATGCTTATCCAACCTAAATAAGCGGGGTGGGGGGGGGGGGGCACATTCCAGCCCTGGTCTCCACCAAAGCACTTTAATCCAATCTTCTTGGATCTCCGACTGGACTCTGGGAGTTGAGTAACAAAGACGAAAGCCCCCTAGCTGCGGTGTAGAGGGCTCCCCACAACCCTCTAGCTCTGAATTCCCACACAGCCACCCACCACCACCCTTCTCCCCCGCCCACACACACACATATACTTTGCTATACAGTATAAGCAATAGTTGGTTAGCGATTAACTCACCTTTACTGGATGGGGGGCTGAGGAGAGGAAAGAAATACCCTTCTATTTCAAAGGGCAGAGAAGCAGACAGAGCCTGCTTCGCCTGACTCCTGCTGGTTTCTTCTTCTGACCTCTTCCTGACTTACCTGGACAGGTAAATGCTTCATCTGTGCTGGTTCGCCCCACCCTGCCACTGACTCTCAGCCAATCGCAGCATTCTCTCCCTACCTCTCATTCCAGCTGTTTCTCCAGGGAAGGTGTGGGAGGGGAGTGGGCTGGGCGGTGCTGCTCTCACTTAGCCAATCACCTCTTGCCATTCCTTCCCCCATTAAGAGCCAATAAAGAGCCCTTTTAAAAAACGGAGGGCTGGAAGGAAGAGGGACTGGTTTGGGCTGAGACTGGAAAAGGAGAGTTGGCAGTGAGGGAGTAGGCAAAAAAAAAATAAATAAATAAAAATAAAAATAATAATAATAATTTTTTTTTTAATTACATCTTCATATACAGAAACAGTCCCCTGGGCATGTTTTTTACATGTCTCTCTGAAACTTGGTTTTCTATCTAGAGTTGCCTTCTTCCACTTGGAACTAAGTTTCCCCCTGAATTCTCCAAATTAAAATCCTCTGTGGCCAATTTTGTTCATGGTTTTTCTAATCTCTCAGAATCACTTTCAGCCCCTAGCAGCTCATAGTGTTTCAAATTCCACCCCTGACAGCAAGGAAGATATCTAAGACTAGGGATACCCACCTGACAGACCCTTACCCCCTCCTCCCATTCCCCCCGCGCCCCCCATCCCCAGATTGCCAAGGGCCTTCTTGGCCTCATTTATTTCTGCGGGAAATGAAACAATTTTTTCCCTGGACATTTCCCTGCTGCAAAAGTGCCTGCATAGCCTCAATGGAGAGAACATGCTCATTGTCCTTGGGTCTCTGGTCTCTTAGCTATTCATGGAAGGTAGCAATAAATATTAATAAATAAGAACGAAGTAAGTTCCCCACCAGGGTAGCAACTTCTGAATCCTCCCATAGTGGGTCTTTGGCACCTGTAGGTAACCAGAAGAAGCAGGAGAAGAGAGTAGGTGGAAGAATCTGATGCTTTCAGGAAGAAATCTCCTTCCAAGTATGGAGGTGACTTTTACCACTTGTGGTTTGTGCCCGGAGGCTGACCTTTCCTGGTTATACGTTTTCCTTGATGTGAAAAGGGCAGGAAGAAAAATTAAAACCAATGCACTTAATAATTGCCCACACTGATCAAGCTGTTGCTGTGCATTAGGTATTGTGCTGTGCTAGGCATGTTCATCCACCATTTCACGTCATCTTCATTTCAACTTCCAAAGGTAGATGCTGTTAATATACAAATTTTACAGGAGGTTACATAACTTGTCCAAGGTCATGTAGTTAGAAGGTGGCAGAGCAGAGATTTCAATTTAGGCGCCATGACGGCAAACTTGCCACCTACCAGAATGATGCCAGTCAGCCTCGACTTGGGGGAAAATCCTAAGTAGGAAACATGAAATACTCAGATCATTGGCAGGTTTAATTCTAGCCATTAGATTCATCCTTTCCCATCTCATTTCTATTCATATCTTTCATAACCAGGTGACACATGGCTTTCATCTTTTCTCTTTCTATGATCATAATTGGGTAGGAATTGAGAAGTGCAGTGATACTGGAGCCAAGGTGGAGAAGAAGTGGGGCAGGACGAGTGAGGAGGAAGGAGGCTTGAGGAACCTTGGAGAAATCCAGTACCCTGTCAGCAGGATATGGATGGCAGAGCTGATTGATTTGAGGGCAATGACCTCTCTTCATGATGTGTCATTCAAACATGTATGATGTCACAATACTAATGAAAGAAGAAGAGCACCTCCTACTCAGAGTTCAATGCAACCCGAGCTACACCCATGGATGAAGTCACTGAAGTTGATCCAGCTTCAGAGGTGTGTAAGGTGAACATTGACTAAAAAGCAAAAACAAAGAAATGAATTGGCTCGTGAGGATTAATCTCAAAGGCACAGCAGGCATAGTCTTATTTGTGAATTGACCGTATTGGTTTTTTTTCAGTTTTGAAATAGTGAAGAAGAGCTCCTGTCTTTTACCAGGTAGACAAGTGACATAGACAAAGTGATCTTTCTGTTCCTCTTTCCTTTTAGACATCTTTTTGAAAAGTATGAAATATTTCAGCTAAATGAAATGTACCTAATGCCCAGGTCAAGAACCGGAACAGGAACATTACAGTTGACATTCCTTACAAGCGTCACCCCTCCCTCCTCTTCTGCCTCCTCAAAACATACATACACCCAGGCTGAAATAAATCACCCTCATGTGTGTCATGTTTTTTATCCTCTATGTCTTTAAGTGGTTTACCCTGGAATCTTCTTTTGTTTTTCTCTGCTCTCTTGGAAAAATACCAAGTCCCTAAGGTTCCAAGAGAATGGGGAAGGAGGCCTGAACTAGAGAAGAGAGAGGACTCCAAAACCCAGACATATCTGAGACACTAAGCTCCCTGATTGATGCAGGTCATCGTTGGAGGTGGAGTTCGGTTTCTGTGTCATTGCTCTTTGTCTATGAATTCCTGTTTGGTGATTTGACGCCATGCAGACTAATTACAGTCCAGCTCACCTGACTCATCTGTGTCCTCACTCTTCCATCCTGGCATGCTGTTGTGGGGCAGTCATCTCCTGGACTGTCAGAGACTAGTTTACTATTTCCTTGTTTACTATTTCCTTTCTCAGTACAGCCTCCCAGCCAGGCATCTTACTTCCTCACTCAAACACACCTTCTTCTTCTTCTTCTTCTTCTTCTTCTTCTTCTTCTTCTTCTTCTTCTTCTTCTTCTTCTTCTTCTTCTCTCTCTCTCTCTCTCTCTCTCTCTCTCTCTCTCTCTCTCTCTCTCTCTCTCTCTCTCTCTCTCTCTCTCTTTCTCCTTCAAAAGTGAAATATACCACCAATAGTCATTGGGTACTCTTTCCACTTTGGACACCTTATACTGGCAAACTCTCTGCAAAATAGTCTTGGGCCTCCATTCTAACCATTCATGATACTTGTTCACTCACATTATAGTCACATTCTACCAGTGTCTGTCTTTTTCCTTTTCTTCTCTAAAGAAAAAAGGAACTTATTTTGAACATTATTATCACCATCCCTAAGAAATGCTGGGTGCCCACTATGTTCCATGGTATTGGGCATGCTACAGTGTGCTGAGTATATTTCTGAGCATATTTCTAACATATTGAGGGGAGGAACCGTCTTATTCCACAAGAGCTTGCTTTAGCCTGGCCAGTGTGGCTCAGTGGTTGAGCATCAACCTATGAACCAGGAGGTCATGGTTCGAGTCCTGGTCAGGGCACATGCCCAGGTTGTGGGTTGGATTCCCAGCAGGAGGCAGCTGATCAATGATTCTCTCTCATCATTGATGTTTCTACCTCTCCTTCTCCCTTCCTCTCTGAAATCAATAAAACTATAAAAAAGGGCTTTCTTTAAAGAGAAAACAGCTAGGGAAGGATTTGGATAAAGGTGATCAGAATTTGGAATTGATAGGCCAGATTAAAATGAATTAGATCACTAAATTCTCACCAAAGTGATATCAGTGTTAATCCTAATATAATTAGATGGAAATTAAAGGGTGTAATTAACTGGATTTGGATGAAGGAGTTCTGAAATTGCTTAACCATTAAGTAGTTCCTGGGAGCAGCTTTCTTTCTTTCTTTTTTTTGGGGGGGGGGGGGGGAGTGAGCAGTGTTATTTGGGCCCACCTATCATGGACATTTAGAGGATTCAGTGGTCCTTTTCCTCCAAATGTTAATGAAAGTTTGAGGGATGAGGTCATCTATCAGATCAGAGAGTTTTGTAAGAAACACCAAATCTTAATGTGTTCAAAATTGAGCTCATCTGACCCCTGCCCCTCAGTCCTGCCCTCTCTCCTCTATCTGCATGCCAGCTAACAGCATCACCATACCTAATCTCACCCAGACTCAACACCTCCTAGCGATCCTCCCTTGTTCCCATGAGATTGTGCTCATATCTCTTTTTAGCTCCGCATCCTCCCTACTCTGACTCAGGATTTTACTACATGTAGAACCATAGGTTATTAAATGGAAAAGAAACTAAAGAAATTCCTTGTTTTATATCTTCCATTTTATAGATGCACATCTGAGTTTCATTCCTCTCAAAATGCTTTGATGTATTTTCATAACATTCAAGATGAAATTCTAAGTCCCCATATGACATAAAAAGACTTTTATGAGCTGGCATCTCCTGTCACATATTCATCTAGGATAGTCTTTACTGTATTCATATTCATATTTCTGAAACTACCATGTTTTCATGCTTCTAGGCCTTTCCACATGCTATACCTTTCCTTGGACCTGTCCCCACCCTATTCTCCAGGCTTAGTCTTATTCTTCCTTCAAGGTTCAGCTTACCAGTAAATACCACTTTCTTTTGGAATAGGATGGTATTGGGCATGCTACACTATAATCTCTTAACTATATATATTTAATTCACTAGAATGTAACTGTTTTCTTTTTCTTTTTGTAAAATTTAAATTTGCAAAGGGCATCAGATTTTTCTGTGAACAACTCTTCTATTACAATGTTACTAGAGGCCTAGTGCATGAAATTAATGCATTTGGGGCAGGGATGGGGTGTCTCTCAGCCCAGTCTGCGCCCTCTCACAGCCTGAGAGCCCTTGGGGCATGTCTGGGTATCAGGCCTAAGCCAGCAGTTGGAAATCCTTAGTGCTGCCACAGAGGCAGCTTGCCAGCTCTAAGCCCAGCTTTTGGCTGAGCAGCGCTCCCCCTGTGGGAGCGCATGGACCACAAGGGGGCAGCTCCTGCATTGAGTGTCTGCCCCCTGGGGTTCAGTGGGCATCATAGCAATAGGCTGTTCCACTGTTCGGTTGATTTGCATATTAGCCTTTTATTATATAGGATATATTAATGACAAGACTGATAATGAACTTTTTGAAGTCCTTTAAGAAAATTGCCCTGAAAATTCATATTTTATATCATGTTAGTAGATTATCTACTGCTACAATTTTGCTTACTGTTTTTCCCCTTAATTTTGTCTTTTGAAATACTATTAAACTGTAAATTGCTCTTAGAAGTAGTAGGCATTGGCTCTGAAAACAATCAGGATTGTTTTCAGAAGTTTTTGATCTTTTTAAAA